TTTTAGCTACTGGAGAAAAGCTTTCTGAATAATCGACTCCTTCCTTTTGGTGATACCCCTTAGACACTAACCGGGCTTTATGTCTTTCTATAGTTCCATTGGTATTTACTTTAACTTTGTAAACCCATTTACATCCAATTGGTTTCTTCCTAGCAGGTAATGGCATCACTTCCCCATGTCTGATTTGTTTCTAGAGCTTCCAACTCCTTTTCCATTGCAATAACCCATTCTTGCTGTGCACTAGCTTCCTCATATGATTTTGGTTCCTGTACAGTTGACACTTGGCCTAGAAAGGTAATATAATCTGGGGAAAATGCGGGGTTAGTAATGTAAGGGAAAGTATTAGGTATGTATATCGAAGGTTGCTTGTAGGCAGCAGATTTAGAAGTGAAACCATCAGTAGAACAATTGGTAACAAAGTCTTTGAGCCAGGTTGGTGTGGATTTCAGTCTAGTACTCTGTCTTGTAGGTGCAGGGTCAGATGGAGGAGAAATAGGGGATTGTGTTATTGATGAATTAGTTTCTGATATTGCTGGAAGATCAGGAATGGGATCAGGAAGGTTATTTTGGTCTGATATTGGTGATGTATTGGATTGAGATGGGGAAATGTGTTTGGATGGAGAGTTAGGACCATGAAAATTTGGAAAAGAATAGGGTAATGGGATTTCATTGATTGGCTGAGCAATTTTGCAGAAAGGAAAATGATTTTCATAAAAGATTACATCTCTAGACGTATAAATCTTATGATCTATAAGGTCATACAATTTGTATACCTTCTACCCTGGTTCAAAGCCAATGAAGACACATTTATAGGCTCTTGGTTCAAATTTGTCCTTGTGATGTTTGGTGTTTGTGGCATAGCAAAGGCACCCAAAGCATTTGATATGTTCATATGAAGGTAATTTTTGGTAAAGTAGCTCAAAAGGTGTTTTCCACTTTAATATTGGAGTAGGAAGTCTGTTTAGGATGTAAGTTGCCATTAAAATGGCGTGTCCCCAGAATTTTTTTGGTAGGTTTGCTCGGGATAAAAGGGATCTAGCTATTTGCAACAAATGTTTGTGTTTTCTTTCCACTCTTCCATTTTGTTGTGGAGAATAGACACAACTTCTTTGGTGGATGATTTCCTTACTTTCTAAGAGAATTTTAAAGTCTTTATTCAAGAATTCTGTGCCGTTATCAGACCTTATTGTTTTGATTTTTCTATCAAACTGATTTTCTATTATCCTCAAAAATTTGTCAACAATGGTAATGGTTTGGGATTTGTGGGCAATGAGAAATGTCCAGGTTGCTCTAGAGTGATCATCAACAATGGTTACCATGTATTGAGCACCAGTTAATGATGGCTGTTTATAGGGACCCCACAAGTCAATGTGTAATAAATCAAAAGGTTTATCGGAACAAGATTCAGTCAAGGGAAAAAGTAAACATTGTTGCTTGGACTTAGCACAGATATCACAAGGTGAGATGTCAAAGAAATCATGATTATTACAAGCTTTGATGTGTTTCAAAACAGTAGCAGATGTGTGGCCAAGTCTTTTGTGCCACATTACACATGATGACACATCAATATTGTTATCAAAAGTACTGGAACTATTACAGGAAATAGAACTTTTATTACATTTAGCTAAAAGTTCAGGTAAGAAACTAGATTTATCAAGAATGTAAAGGGTGCCTATCATTCGACCAACAGCTATAACTTTCTCAGTCTTCTGGTCCTGCAACAGACAGTGAGATGCATAAAAATTACAGTTGATGTTGTTTATTTTGGCTAGTTTACTTACAGATAGTAGGTTGTATTTGAAGCTTGGCAGGAATAGAACATTTTTTATGGTTAAAATTGGGTGGAGCTGAATGTCTCCTGATGTTGTAACATAATTTATGCTACCATCAGGTAAGTGGACAGGAAGTTTTATAGCTATAGGCTTAGTTTTCTGGTATGATTTCAGTTCTTTGCACATATGGTTGGAGGCGCCAGTGTCAACTATCCAGAAGTTATCATCAAATAAATCAGCTGTGCTCAGTTTAAGAGTTAAGGCATGAATCTTACCTGCAAAATCTTCCAGATTCGCAAAATTAATGTGGTTGTCTCCCATGTTCAACTTTGCCTTCATTAACTTCATCAATTCTTGTTGGATCATGTTGGATAGATTGTTCTGTACTTCATTATTCTTGCTTTCATCTTGTTCTGTATCCACATCCAAAGGAGTTTCTGTTGAATTAACAGCTGTAATTCTATTCATACCCTGTCCCTGTCTCTGATCCTTCAACCCCTTAAACCAATCCGGATATCCATTAAGTTTGAAGCAGCTCTCTCTATCATGACCAGATCTGTTGCAGTGACTACAAAACTGATTTTCCTTTCCCTTTCTCCAGTTCTCAGATCTCTTGAAATTTCCTCTTCCAGTTCCAATTCTAACTGATGTTCCTCCTCTTCTGCTGTTTGTTTGTGTCATCCTTGTAAATAGAGCATTAGTTTCACTGCCCTCTGAATACACCATCTGTACCTGTCTTTGTTTCTCCACTTGCATCATCATCGAATAGGCTCTATTCACCCTAGGCCATGGGTCCATAGATAGGATCTGATTCTTCAAATTATCATAGGACTCATTTAGCCCCATCAAAAATTGCATCAATTTGTTTGAAGCTTCTCTATCTGTCATTTTTTTTTTATCGCACCACAATTACATTGTTCACATGTACATTGTGGTATAGGATCTAGGGCATTTAACTCATCCCAGAATTTCTTCAATTTTGAGTAATATTGCATTATACTCAGATTTCCTTGATGAATTGAGCTGATCTCACGTTGACTATGATAAATCATAGGACCATTGCTTTCACCATAATGTTCTTCAATTTCCTTCCATAATTCTCTAGCAGATCCAGCATAGACAAATGATTCTGCAATTTCTTTCGCTATTGAATTTAATATCCATGAGACCACCATGCAGTCTACTCTTCTCCATTGAGCATATTCAGTCGAATTTTTTTCAGGTTTTCTGCAATCTCCAGTAATGAAATCAAGTTTTACCTTCGCCTCTAGAGCAATCTTCATCGATTTGCTCCAGGTAAGAAAATTCTGTCCTGTTAATGGTGCTGTGACTAGCATCATTCCAGGATGGTCAGATGCTTGTAAGAAAAGAGGATCTCCATTGTTCTAAGTAGAGGTCTCCTTCGAAGCACTTCCCGTTCCTTCTTCTCTTCTAACACGTACTGGTATGGATCTTGTTCCTGACAATTCATCATCAGCCATTTCTTATCAGGATTACCTGATTAGCTAAACTATTTTGGTTTGGATCTTGCTCTGATACCATAAACAATATCAAGGCAGAAGATATCAAGACAGAGAAAAAATCATGAAGGAGAGAAAAATCATATTCGTATCTCACTTGTTCAACCTCTGAATTTACACTATATATATACAAGATGTAAAACTGAAAATATAGCTAAACCAATAGAAAAATGACAACTCATCAAACTATTTAACAAACTAACTACTTGGAATATTAAATAACTAACTAACTGGAGCTGAAAGCTGAAAGCTGACTTCCCATTCTGTACATATAGATGGAGAAGGACACTTCAGAGACGATTCTGTGAAATTATTGAAGGAACTAACGACGTCGTTGGAAATTTGCTCAGCGCAAGTGAACGGCACGGAGCGGGTGCTGTGGAGGTAGTTTGAAAGGGTCTTCTGGAGTTCTTTGACGGCTTGGGGCTTTGCCTCCCGGATATTAGAGAGAAGGGTTTATGGGTCCTGAAGGGCTGGTGGAAAATGGTGCGAAAGGCGGTAAATAAAAATATGGAGGTGGCAGTTGAAGTATCACCGGCGGTGACTGTGAAACATGGCTGAGAAAGGATTTTGGTTAAAGAATTACAATACTTTTTGCACTTTTGGTCCCTAACGTTTGCACTTATTTCGGATTTAATGCCTATCATTTCAATTCAGGCAGAAGAGCCCCAATTGAACCTGATTCCAATATTAGCAGGGAGTAGGTATAACAGACCCTGAAACTGGAAAAGAAATCCATCGACTGAGCACCTGTTTGATGTAATGATGTACATTACGTTGAAAAAATATGTTTTAAATTATGACTTTTAGAGAATTTGTGGCTAAAAAATATGAAAAAAAAAAAACCTTTAAGTTTACTTGTAAAATAATTTATTACGTGTGCGGTTGAAAAGAGTAGATGATTAATGAGATTTGAGTTAATGGAAAACAAGCATGGGCTAACTCACCTTTGCAACTTGTGACGGTACTCTGCGTTAGGCAAATTTTACAAACTTTTGTCAATCAATTGAAAAGATAGGGGACCAACTATTTAAAATCACTAATAGTGCCTTTAATCTAAGTTAAAATCAAGCAATCAATGTTAATCTTATTTGTCATGGGTTCCACAACTTCTCAATCATACATTTCAAAAACTTCTATCATAATTTAATAAAAAATTTAAATTTTAATCTACATCAAACACCCTCGTAAGAACCATACTTGCTATTTCTCACAAACAATAGATATACTTCTTGCTAAATACCAGAAACAATAGAAACCTTGTATTCATCTTCTTCGGGAGGTTTATTTACATCAATTACAATGAAAATTGAAGCTTCATTAACATCAACAAACCTTAATTTAATTAAAACGTACAGACCCTTTACCCTTGTGGCAAACCAAAGACAAAGATTTTCACTCCTCGGGATTAGTCGAGCGAAACTCGAACACCTGTGTCGTAAGGATTAAAAAAAAAAAAAAAAGACTGAGAACAACTTTACAAGTCGAAATTTCAAGAACAAGTTAGCGAGATCTTGGTTGAAATAACCCCTTAAACAAAGCCAAAGCACGAAAACTTCCGAGTAGATCCCAGGTTCATCCTCTAGTTCTTCACTCGTTCTTGGTATTCAGTCTTTAACCTGGGCACAGCTATGGCGAAGAACAAGATTCTCTAGAAAAAAATTTATTTTCGAAAAATAACTTAATAGTAATAGCAACACCATATGAGTACTGAAAATGAAACTCTTCATGATATAACTTGTTCATAAAGAAATAAATGTCTACTATCAATTCTTTGAGTCGAATATGAAACATCTAAAAATAAAGGAAACATAAACCTAAAGAGAACTCATTTTTTATTTCACATTTATAAAATACTGCAGATTCCATTTCTAAATGCCATCCCAAAATTACAGGGACAAGAAAAAAAAAACCATAAATTTCCAAGAGCGAATTTCCAGAATGATTACTCCTCACCCAGAATAAACACATTTCCAAGAAGATTGCATGTAACCCTGCATACAACAGAACTAAAACAACAATGGTAAAATCAAATATTTAAGCATCTCTCAAGACCTTTTGTTAATTTCTAGATACCCTGTATAAATTAGGGGTTTCGATTTGGCTCACTGGCTCGGGCTCATGAAGCAGAATCACTCAAAGGGTGACGGTCTCGGGGACTCTCGGGCTGACATCCGGAGGATAGATGGGGAATCCTTAATGCAGCTGCAAAGATGTCAGCCATGTGTGCCCAGATTCTGAAAATGAATTACCACCATGTTTGGGGCGTCTAGAATGGCAAAAATTAACCTCCTTATATTTTGGATACTCAAAGGAAGGTTAGCAATTTTGATCTTGGCAACAGACATTGCAGACTTCCTTCTTGCTGAATATATTAATAGCTTTCGAAATCCTGGATAAATAGGACCTTGAGAAAAGAAAAATATATGGAAGTCAAAGTCTGAGTATCTTGTGCGTGTAAAATTATCACTCAAATTCAATCATGAAGCTCAATAACTTTAAAATTACACCTATACCCAGAACAGCATGAATATTGCCCAGCTATGAAACTCTTAGTTCTAGATCAGACGTTATTTTCAGAGTAACTTAATAATTATTGGAATTATAAACACATTAATGGACTTGTTCATTTAACTAAAGGAAAAATGGAGGCTGGTTGACACTTTTGACTGGATTCAGTCAATTTTGACCATGTTGGGGTCGATTTTACTGGGTTGAAGATGATTTGACTACTTTAACAAAGAAAGTGCTACAAAAACAAGGCTTCATGAAAAAACTAAGAACGCTTTCACCAGATGTGACTCTCAATTACACTATCCGAATTTATGCCTAGATCAATATCATGTATATGAGAATTCAATATTTTAAATTTCACATTATCAACAGTGTTCACAATTGCTTAAGAATTTTTTTTTTTTTTTTACAGTTGGTTAAGTTAACATGAATGAAAACAATGATATCCTAAGGTAAGTTATGAACATGGGGTAAATTATTATCAGCAAAGGGTTCATATTTTTACATTTAGTTGCACGGAGATAAGGATATGTTAAGACCACTTATGAACATGGAGTGTTCAGAATTTGTTAAATGAGTTGAACGGAAATAAGGATATATCCTATGACCGCTAATGATCATAGGAAACTTAAAAAGTTCTACTATCGTGTCTGAAGAAACAGCCAGCAATGTTTTTCCCAACATTGAGAACTGAAAGCTGTATAATAAGGATCGCTATGCATCGCAAATAATTCAAATCCAAACATCTGATTTTTCAAACAGTCTCTTCGAACAGTAGGCAAGCGATGAAAAATTCAATAAAAAAGCTTCTTAAACCAAACGAATATTGAAAATGAAACTCATAAAATAAAATTCAACTTTGCAACAGTCTGTGTTCATAAAAACTGAACTTCTACTCACAATTCTATTCGACAACCAAGAAATTTCTAAAATGTAAAGGGAACATAAAGACTAAAGAGCCCTTGTTCTTCAATTCAGATTTACAAAAATTTTCACTCCATCTTTGACGCAGCAATGGTGCATACAGCCCCGTTTGCAGTATTCAAGACTCTAACTTCAGTTAGTTTTTAGATACCTTGTATGAATCAGGAGTTATTGATTCCAACCATGATCCAGGAAACACATCCTGCACATTAAATTAGATTAAGTAAATTGCAAAGTTCAATAAAAAGGGAAGAAAAGAAATTCAAGTCAGAAACTTTTCTTACGTCCAACTGTTTCTGAACATTCTTCGCTCTCTTCTTAGGCCTCCTGTTAGGCCTCAATCCAGTAAAACCATAAATATCCTCTTCAATCTCCAGTTGGGATAAAGAGACCTCGAAGCTCAACTTCTTCTTCTCCTTATTTTCTCCAGCCCCTCTCTCACACCGCTCTTCCTGATTTTTTTTCCCATTCTTGCACGGAATTTTGATCGAGATTTTTGATCCATTTCCTTTAGTTCCAGACTCTGACTTCATGGAATTGCTCCTGCTAACAAGAACCAGCTGCTTTGAAGCAGAATCGCTCAATGGTGATGGTCTCTGCGAATCTTGGGGCCGAGATCTGGTGGATGGATGGGATCTCTGGGAAGGAGACTTGACAGAGTGGCTCCGGAGGCAGCGGCTAGATTGGATCTCCTTGTTCAAATTCAAAGCAGGCAAAGAGAAATTGTGTTGCGGCTGAGATTGGGCTGGAACTCTAGAATCCATCACAAACTCCCTGCATTGGAACTTCACGTTAATCAATCACATCTGTAATTTTCTTCAGACCTCAGTAATTTAAACAAAATTTACACAGCAAAAGGAGTTGTGCGTATATAGGAATTTCATCGAAAGACTTATGGTCCCACTTGTTTACCCAAAATCAGCAAATATTGAACCAGCATAAGGAAATTCAAATAAAAACCCAAAGTAACAGCACGAGATTCCTGCATTTCATTCAAAAGAACAAATTCAAAGCTGCTCTCATTTCTGGAACAATCCAAGAAGGGTTTTAAGTTTGCTCATTGAAGTAACAAAATTGATTTAGATGAGTTAAAAAAGATAACAAAACCGTGTCGGGTGACGGAAAAGTTTTCGCCTATTTTGAGTAAAAGAATTATAAAATGACAGTGAAATGAATCAGATGAGGATAACTGAAGAAACTGAACCACTGCTGGAAGACGGCGGAAATTGGCGGAGAAAACTTGGCGTCAGTCCAAACTAAAATAAGATCAACAGTATGGTTTAATCATAGAAACTAAGAGAATAATGATTTAAAATAATCGTTAAGAGGAATTTAAAACTTCAAATATAATTACGTAGATGCAGAATGAATAAACAATCTTTGAAATCTGGGTTTCGGGAACAAGAAATAATCCGATAACTTGAGAGTTGAGAGGGGAATATAGGAACTGCGTGCGCCTGTCGAGAGAGGATTGAATGGAATGGGAATAGGTTGCATATAGTGTTAAAAAAAGAAGTTCATTGATTGAGTCAAACTATCAATTTCATAATTAAACTCTTATCTTATTTCAAACGAGGCTAAATAAAAATTTTGCAAAATTTTAATTGACCTAAAAATTCGGTTGTTTAGGTAATCTTAAAGATTTCAAAGAGGCTGGTAATCTTCTCTTGTTTTCACTGTCAACACGTTTGTGAAAAGAAAAGTAGGAGCAAATAAAGTTTAGGATAAAGATATTTATACAAAATCTTGTTGACAAAATGGTGTACTCACTCTCACAAAATTAGCGGATCCCACGTGAATTAAAAAAATGCCAGCTTGTGGTCCCCACACCCATTGTGAGTATTGAGTAAGGGAGTTTGTAAAAGAAGTTTGTACATTTAGTATGATCCTTTTAGATGACATAAATTTCTAAGTAAATATAAAAAATTTGCACGTTTCATCTTTAACCTGTCACATAAGTACCAATCTACTCCTTTTTTTCTTTAGTCCACCCTAGAGTGACAATGAGTAGACTCGAGACACCACTAGCATCCACAAACTAATAGATTTGGTTCCCACTAGGCTAGTTGGAAATGGGCTGAATCAAGTTATGCACAAGTCATCGAGCCTGCTTAATCTTAAGAAAATTAATACAACGAACGGGCGAGTGAAAAATAAAGAGTCCAGCTCAATCCTCGGCCTTACTCCGATGAGTCCGAGCTCAAACCGTTTGTGGACTAAATCGAGACGACCCGAGCCTACAACGTTTCATTGAGTCCCTCTTTAAAAAATAAAAGCATTTACAGAAAATGAAAAAAGCTTCCTCTTCATCATCCCCAGAAAAAGGTTAAAACACATCTTCACCATAAACCGCACCTCTCACTCCGACAGCCAACCACCCCAACCCAAAAGCACCTTTTGATGGATACAAGAAGGGGAAAAAAACACACACACACTACAACAAAATCAAAAATCATACCGCTGTGATCATAGAAACCGAAATTCGCCAAAAAATAATAAATAAATAAATCACAAAAGCCGAGAAAGTCATTGCTCTAAAAGAATTATTACAGACATTTAAATGCAATTACCTGTGATGCAGAAGGCGCACGATCTCTAGGTCTGAATTTCTGGAAAATGAATAAAAAAAAATCCTAAAACAAAAGACAGCAGAAGTTTTTATAATTCCTGAACTATGTGTTTGGAGAGAGAGGGAGGGAGGAATTCTGACGGGTTGGGTTGAGAGCGGTATTGGGGCTTATATGAGGCGGTTGAGTTGTTTGTATTGCAGTATGACACGTGGCTTCGGTTGTAGGCAGTGAGAAGAAAACAAAACACACTACATTTTAATAATTTGATATTGATATTTAATTGATAAAGTAGTGAATTTCTACATATTTATATATCTCGGTATTAACTCCAGTTTTTATTTAGAGAGGGAAAAAAAAAAAAAAAAAAGCGCCAATAATAATAATATTTGAAGATTCGATTCTGCAAATGAATAAACTCCGATACTCTTTAGGATTTTGAGGATGAAAGGATAGCGGGACTATACTCTTATTAACACAACAAGTGTTAACCGAAACGCCCAAAAAAATTAAAAATAAAAAAAGGGCAGATAAAAGTATAAGCAATACGTGCATATTACAAAAACATAATATCTATTTATTAATGTTTGTTTATCATCAATAATTAGATGGATACGACAAAAATGGATAGAATCTTAACTAAGAACGACATTCACATATTGAATCATTACTTAAACAACTGTCGAGAAAATGTACATTTGACACTTGTCATGACAATTCAAATACTTATTAATATCTACTTTGGTGGCATCTCGGTGTGCTTGCACGTGCAACATAGCTCCATTGAAATTTTTCTATGGATCGAATGTCGTATATATTTGTTTTCGAGTAAAATTTGTTTTTGCACTTTTTCAAGATCAAGAAAGCAAAAAGTGTACCAACAAAAAACAACATAGAATTTTATAATACTCTTCATTTCAAGTCAAGCCCTTGAGCTCCATTATAATTAAAATTTTGAGAAAAATGTATTTTGTAATATTGATATTTTTAAAAATATGTTAAAAAAAATGAAAAATTTTGAATTTACGTATAATATTATTTTATTAGCTTATTAACTATTTCTATCAAAAAACTAAATTGCAATAATGAGTAGATTTCCGTAAAATGAAATCTTGCTTCTAACATTCTCACAGGCATTTGGAGATTAGCCTATTCTCTATTTCTATTTACTTTCCTCCCACAATCAAAATATGCTTGTATTGTATGTTAACAAAATTTTATATATATGGACCACATCATTTTGAAACCAACATTAAGAGTAAATATTTTTAATTTACATAAGAAAATAATTAAATCCCAAATTGATAAAGTGCATAAAAGAATCCCATTTTTCATTAATTAATGGGAAATCAAACGGTGTTAAATGACAAATTGTATTAAAGCTACAGATGATTTTTGTTGAATTAGGTAAAAGTGATGACAAAAAATTTAAATGAAAAGACAATCACATTGAATTCTAGCAACTTTTTCTTTTAGATTTTGCAAATATGGTTATTAAAAGCATTACTCAAGACCTATTTGAACTATATTTTTTGGTGATGTATTATTTTTGTTGAATTAGGTAAGAGCGAAGACCAGAAATTTAAGTAAGAATACCATCACATTGAATGCTCACCAACTTTTTTCTTCTAGATTTTGCAAATTTGGTTATTAAAACGAGTTTTACTCATTCTCTGTTTCACACACACTTTTTTCTTTTTCTTTTTTTTACCTTTTCCTATCCGAGTTAGATTTTTACTCAACTAGGGATGGCAATTTATTCCGTCCCGCGGACAGGGGCTCCCCATTGTGGGGCGGGGCCACCCCGTGAAGAAAAAAATTAAAAAATATTTAAAAATAATTTTATTTCTAGACAATTCATTCGTTAAAAATTCATTTTGAATTTGTATTTTATTCTTTAATAATAACATAATTCAAAACTTTCAAAATGTAAAAAAAAAAAAAAAATACAAAAAATTAAACGGGGCAAAAAGTTGCCCCATCCCCGCCCCGTCTAAGGTGGGGCGGGGTTTTGGCCAAACGGCCCGAACCCCACCCCCCCCTCCCCTCCCCATTGCCATCACTTTGCTCAACGCCTTTTTCTTGTCTTTCAAAATAGGGAAAATTGTCTATGGGGTTTGTGATATTCTCATCCCCATTTTATTTGGCAAAGTATTTTTTTAAAAAAAAAAAGGACAATGCACCTCGTCTTTTTCAACTATTGGTCGACGACTTTTTTCCCCCTTGATGATTCATTAAATTGGATCAATCAATTCAACCAAAAAATTAATTGAAGGTATTGGAACCATCAAAATAAGCCAAGAAATGTATGGTTGGTTCACATCAAAATTTTGAGTTTTTCTTCTTTAGGTATTCATTTACCATTAATTCAGCGTTTGAATGTTGCGGTGTTGGTGGTACTGTTTTCGGGACTTGTAGGATGTGCCGTGGGAGAGATGATAGTTGATGAGATAAAGATTATGATTTGTCTTTTTCTTTTCATTTCATATATTTATATTTTTCCTTTTTTTATTTAAAATAGAATCGTAAATTGACTGAAGAAGTGGTTGACCTTTTTGGTCTTTAAAACGACGAAATTTAACAAGTTATAATGGTACCTATCACCTAATTTGTTGCAGGGGAATTTACAAAAATGTCAATTTTTTTGAAAATGCACAAAAAACTTTGATGTGCACACAATTTGTACAAAAATGTTACTTTCTTGTTGTCAAATGTCTAAATTACCCTTAATTTGACCTTTTTTAGAGCATTTAATGCTCCTTCATGATTTTTTTCAAAACAATTAATGTTGTGATTTGATTGATTAATTTGTATATTATAATCATTGAATATATGAATATTATATTGTAAAATACGAATTTAGTTAATAAAAATGAATATAAAATCCTTCAAAACCCTAGTTAACATAAAAAAAACAAATTTATTGTTAAACAAACCCTTATTTCATTCATCTTCTTCATCCATTTTCTTCTTCATCAAGAAGATATTATTTCATCCATCTTCTTCATCTATCTTGAAAGATTAGAGGTTAGTTATTACGAATTGTTTTTATTTTTATGTAATAGCTTACTCTTTTTAAAATGTTAAAAACAACATAATAATCACTACTATTAATCATCATTGTCTTATTTTTTTAATATTTTTGAAGGAAAAACATACCAAAAACATTTAGGAAAATGTGAATAATTCCATATTTAATGAGGCATTCAGTCATTTATTTCTGGAAATAGGTTGTGATGTTGTAGTTGAGAAATGATTATAAGCATTAATGCTACCAAACACATTTGAAACTTCTCGACAGTTCCGACAGTTGAACTGTCAAACCCGACATTTATAAACTGTCGGGATAGTTAACTAAACTGTCAAATTGGACAGTTGAAAATTCTTGACACCCTTCATTTGACCTTGTACAATTGCATAAGTTTAAACATTCGAACGTGTCACTGCCATGCTATTATATAATTGATATATTGATTGCGGATAATTCTTATCGTTGTTATCCCAACATTTCAGGTATGAACAATAATTTGAGATTCATCGTGTCGCACGGGGGAAAGTTCGTTCAGGTGAATGACGAATGAAAGTGGACTGGGGACCAGACCATTTCCATTTTAGTGCCGAGCAGTATTACACTACCGAGGCTATTGTTACGGTTGAACGAGAAACTTGGTGTTCTCCATTCGCGAACAAAAATGGAATTGAAGTTCAAAATTCCGAACATGAATATACCGCCAGCCAAAATACTCGAAGATGAAGACATAAATTGGTACATATCGGTTCATAAGGAAACTGCCCTCTGCGTGACAACTTTGGAAATCGGTCTGCCAAGTGTTGAAATGGAGAGGGATACAAATTACAGCCAACAATTGTTCCCCTACTGTGTTGTACATTGAAATCTATTATAATACACTTTTGATTATCATTATTGCTTGTAGTCGTTATTTATCTTTGGATTGGCATAAACATTAAGAGCATCATGTTGATGACCTACAGAACATCCCGACAGTTCACATGTCGGCCCCGCCAGTTGTCTTCTGTCATTCTCGACATATGACTGCAAATGTCACACAACCATGGTAATAGTGAATAAACAACTCGACAGATAACAACAAAGATACATAACTGCCACGTGTAATAAGGACAAGAAAAAAGTACCTAAAATAATTTGTTATAACTCAACTTGAAGCACTCCAACTATTCTCTTGTTGCAAAAAAAAAATCATCCATATCATTCGAAAACTGCTATCACTCCATGGTGTACGACATCTTTCATTACTCTCCATGAAACACCGTGTATGTTCCCCAATATTACTACTAAGCAAAGAGAACAATTAGACACTTTGACTCAATTATTCATACGAATATTAGAGATGCGAGAGTGTATTGTGTTATTTTCAAAAAACAACAATTGATCGGTTTGCCCCAAAACGTACACTATGATGAGCTAATATATTTAAAAACAGAATGTCTATTACCAAAATTCAAACCTGAAGAGTACATTTACCCTCTCAACTCTACGCCCGTGTCTAGGACAATGCTCATGAAGTAACTTGTGTGTAACTAACATATCTCTCAATGCTATTAATAACCAACTCCAAGGAAGGAAGCAATTATGATCATTCACTACTCAACCACCAAGTCCAATCTCTAAGTAAATTTGAAAATCAATTGGTGTGATGGTTCAATAAATATCAACTTGCGGACATTAATCCCCCATTTCTTCATAAATACTAGGACATTGTGACTCATAAATCATGTGTACAATGGCTTCTTATAGTTTCCTGCAAACCACATCTTCTCATATGCAAGTTATTGGAAGCATGGTTGTAATGCTACAGTTTCCCACTTCAATGGCTCATCATCTTTACCCACATCAAGAAAAAATAATTGGAATAGACATTAACTCATTTATAAATTAGTTGTACCATGGTTTTCATAACTTTAAAAAGAATATTGGAATACACAATAAAAAATAGATAATTCAAGTAACCAGGGCACAAATTATCAAACAACCGTGTCCACGCTACGACTAGGTTATAGAAATGTAGTGTTCAGCACAGAAACATAAATAGTTTGTAATCATGATAACTGACGTCTTTCACCACCCAAACAAATGTATTAACTGTCAAAAACTTTTTATGTACACGATCTTGGCCCACAATCGAACATGATGTAACCATTACACGTACTGTAGAGTAGCTCCACGACCCAATTTAAA